ACTCGAATCGAACGTTCACTCAAGAAATCCGAAATCCAATTGCAAAGGTCAGTGGGAAGCCCATAAGAGGGAAGCTTGCTTAAAAGGCTTGCGAGCCAGACCCTGACAAAGGCCTTAGAAATATCTAAAGACACTGCAATGGCTTCACCATGCTCTTCTATAGCCTCGCTCCATAAGTGAGAGGCATACACAAGAAGATCCCCAGTCGATCGCCCTCTTCGGAATCCGTATTGGCGATCACTGAGGAGATCGTTGTCGTCAAGGTACGACGGGAGAAGGTTGTTAAGTACACGTTCCATAGTCGTGCAGAGTATGGAAGTGACTGAAATAGGTTTATAGTTGACAGGGTCAGCTCTACTTCCTATTTTTCTTTAGTTTATTTTAGCTTAGTTGGTATAGCATCTTACACGGTTTGCTAGAAGACGTCGGTTCGAATCCGGCCGGATCGAAGAATTTTTTTTGTGATTGTTCGATCTTTGTATTAATAATTATAACAAACTAGTGGAATAATTTCACAAAAATAATTGAATATCAGTTCAATAAAAATTTAAAATATCTACGTAAAGTATCTACGTATCTACGCATGTTATCCAATATTAGTGTATTAATGTTGTCGTTTGTTTGCGCGAATTTAAAAATGACGCTATATTTTTGAAGCCCGTAATACTTTGAATTGATCGCAGGATGTATCGAGTAATGGTTAAAATCCGAAACAAAACAGCTTAACAGTTTCGTTTTCCTTTGTAACTAACACCATTATCTTATGGGCTACGGCCTGAAATAAATGGTTTATTATTATTATTAACTTATTATTATTATTGTTATAGGATTTTTTTTTCGATGTAGTGGCTTCCTCCTCCTTCTGCACTTTCTGTGTCGTGTAGTATTTTGCTAGCTGCTAGAGAAATGAATTGGTGTAATAGGTACATGAAGCGAGTAAGGGTGATGAAAGACGCTTGACTCTCCAAATGTTGCGCAACAAGCTGATGATCAAGAACGACGATTCTATAAACTTTCAACCATGTATCCCACCCGGTGTAAGTACTAGAAATGCTACTCTGATTCGATACAGACCCTATGATTCGATACAACACAATTTCCTGTTGCAACTTAAATGGTAATTTAGTTAACACTTCGATAGCGCGTTCTATTTTGATCCCAACACCATCTAGCGGCAAGGCGAGGTTACTAATATTTCTCGTACGTGGTGTTACACTAGTATTTTTAACGTAGCTAAAGGAGTGTTATTATAAATGAACCAATATAGATATACTGAACCACAATAATAACAAACTCGACAGTACAGGAAGTTTTGTCTGGTTTTATTTCATTTTAAGAAGCTTTATAGGAAATTAATTTGCGAGTTATGTAGTAGGACGCTCTTGACTAGATATTACCATAGACCATTAACTCAAGAGCTCTAATCGCCATACTACAGATCATAACTCTGAAAAAGATCAAAATTCCGTCTTATATCTAGATAATGTTGATAAATAGCTTGGAAGTAGTTTATAATATTATGTTAATACATGGCCGTGGACATAAATTAATTCCTCTTTATTATGAAATATAAATGGTCAGTTTTTTCTTTGTAATATTATTCAAATATTTACCATGGGCCAAAATCCATCAAAAATGCATTTATAAATTAACGCTTGCTAGTATGGGTCGTTGGCGCTAATTTAAAACAATTTAAAAGAATAGCCGTCAGTGTATATAGAAAAATAGCTATTTGGTACTCGTCGCGACATCTGTGGTCGTAGCATTGCCAGTATATCATATGTAATGTGTGATAAACCTCCCCGTGACATGTTTATTTCAGTTGATAAAGCTATGTTGCCATTATTTTTTTTTTTTATTGCGAACACTGAATCGGTAAGATATCGCACTGGAGTCATTCGTTCTTTTGTTTATTATGTAATGCAATATTGTAACACTTTTTGAAGAACGAGGATA